AAAATACCTATTTTAAAATTTATATTTTGCAATTGTAAAAGAGGTATCACCGCATGGGGCGTTTCAATAAAACATCTCATAAACGTTTCATTTTTCATGCGATTTGCTAGAGCAAAAAATCAGAAAAAAAGTAAGTATTCAAGTTAAAAATACCAAACTGCATAGAATTAAAATAAAAAACTTTTGAATAGGCAGATTCCTATCTAAATTCTGCAAGAGGGAAAAAATTGGTAATATGACAATTGGACACCTGGCCTTCCATTTCGGAAAAAAAAACTTTGAAATGCAAAGAGAGGTGTTCACCCTCACTTGAATCTAAATTATTCTCTGTGCGGAAAATACTCCGTCTCTCCTCTTCACCTGGGAAAGAGTTGAAACTGGATATTTATGTTTTTTCCCCTCTTGAAGGATGCTATCGTGCCTGTTGCTACTGCTACAGCTCCAAGTGGCTCCTCCAGTAGCTATGCATCAACGCACGCTGCAGCCTGATTCAATTGGCTGTATCGCATACGTCCGGACTCAGGATATGAAATGCAGTCACTTTTCGAGAGTGCCCCATAAAAAATTTAATTTAGTCTCGCCATATTTCACATTTAAACGCTTCGATGACCACGCATCTAAAGTCGAGTCTTATCCGGAAGGGATCCCGTAGATGTCGGATCAGGCAACCTTTATTATCTCACGCCTGGACTAGTTCCAACGTGATATCTCTCTCCTCCAGTGATATCACACGTTCAAAAATTCGACCCACACAGAAATGTGGCCTTTACCCATTGGACTAAATTTTGCAATAGGGAATCACAATTTCCGACTCATCCTTAGGAGAAACTATTTGTATGGGGAAACAGATGACATGCGTCTGAAGTTATAGTTCCTTATTGCAAATGTAGTCCAATTGGACCGAGTTCATCAGGAAGGAACCAACCCACATTAAGGTGAAACTGAGAGAAAGTGGTTTGAAGTTGCATTCCTGCATTAAGCAGTAACCCCTCTTTTTGCAAACTATAATTTATTTCGTTTTTTTGACTTTCAGTTTTTGAGAGGAGAGAGTATACGACTGGTGAAACTCAGAAATATTATTAACTCAATTTTTTCGAAAATTTGGGTTGGTTCCTTTCTGATGAACTCGGTCTGAGCCCGTTTTCTTAAAATTTCATTTTTGTTGTTTCTTAAATTGGACTGCATTTTGCAATTTGAAACTATAAATTCTGGCTCATCTGAAAAAAACACTTATGTGCATAGGGAAGCTAATGGCACATACGTTGTTTTTAAATCGGGCCAGAAATTATAGTTCCAAATTGCAAAATGTAGTCCAATTGAAGATGCAGGGTTACTAAAATGTATTGTCTCTAGCTAGGCTAGTTTTCGCTGATTCGGTTAGCTTTGCTGAATCAAAAGATCCAGAAAATATAATCTTAATCCAAAAAACAAAGTATGACAGGAAGTTCGCGAGGCGAAGCGGGAACCCTGTTTTCCAGTTCTCTCGTCGGGACACAATACAAGAAGTCCCTCCCCCGGAGAGCGGTGACATTTGAACTCCGAGTTCGGCAACGAAGGGAGGAATCGAGTGTGAAAGGGAGAAATATATCTTGGAACGGACAGGTCGGCGCGCGGCGGAGAGTTATGAATTTCCGAGGGAATTGGGAAATGTCGCCGCTTCCGGTCAGCAAATAAACGAACAAATGGAAAAGTAAACTTGACGATAAAGAGACAGAGGCTGCGGCTGCGGCTTGGGAGGCGGGCCGACCGTGAACCGTGAACCGCGACCACGCCGTGGCGCAGCGCGGGTGGCTGGTAATTAAGTGAAGGCGCAGCTTTTAAAGCATCCGCATAAATCTTCATTTCAGCTTTGACCGCGGGAGCAACAATTTATGACTCGCCGGCCACTTCAACTCGAACCTCGGGCTCATAAAACATATTTTCGCAGCAACCGAAGAGTGAACAAGTGTTGAAATGTAAGGTTTTCAGCTGTAAGGATACCCGCGACAGCTCATGTGCCACATCGAGTGAAAAAAAGGAAAAAACATTACGATCGCTAGAGAAAAGGTTGATTTGAATTAACCCGATGCCGCGTGAAAAAACGTGACAATCGACGGTGCAATTGCTTCATATGTGATTTCCGAAGAAATAAAGTAAAGATATAGTTGGTTCGATCAGAATTCGGTTTGATTGTATCGATACAGACTTGTGCGAACCGAATCGCAAAAGTCGAATTCGTTTAATCAGACGCAGAAATGAAATTAAACGACGATTTTTTCCAGGGATAAATTTGATCGAGTTTTGAAGAAAAAAAACAAACAAATTTCAGGTTAGTAAATGGCCGAGCAGGTCCCTCATTAATGCTCATCATGCAATTCAAGTATTGTCGATTTCCGATCATCACCTCTGGCTAGAAACTCTTACACGGAAGAATTGTTTCTATATGTAGAAGGTAGGACGTAGTTTTATCAAACGAAACTAAAAGCACGTAGATAAAACAAAAGAAAGTATGAACATAGTATTTACGTGCTATACAGTTCATTTAGACATAACCATTTGCACATAGCTCCTCTTCGTATCGATACGTCAAAATGTCCGCTACGCTACATGAAAATATTAACGTTCAATGACTGGACTTGATCCTTTTTAGAACATGGTGTCTATATGCTCATTTCTTGCTCTAATAAACTATGCTCTCTTTCTATGCTCTCAAAAACTACGGAAAAAGGAACAGTATTCAACCAAGTAAATTCATTAATTAATTTTATTTATAAAGGAACACACCTGTTATTTAAAACAAACCAGATTCATCTGAAAACTGCAATTTTAATCATATTTATTTTTACAATAATTTTTATTTGTTTTAATAGCTTAAATTTATGAAGCGTGATTTTCAGAAGCCGTTGGATACGGTAGGAGGAGGGGGGGGGTCGAAAAAATAGGGAAAAATGGATGACGTAATTTAAGAACGGTCCCCAAACCTGAAGAACATGTTTTAGAAATAACTCGTTCACATTGGCTGCATCATTTAATTTCTCTCTTAGCCGGCATTTTCTCTTGTAATATCATTACGATGAGTGAACGATCCACCCTCGGATTCCATGCCGACCTATTCGACCTCGAGGAGTCGCGAGAAAAAACAAAAAACCGAAAAACTCCCTCCTAGACGGTCGACCCGGAGAAGAAGGAATTCCACCGCCCGCGATATTTTCATCCCTGAAGACCGCGGACGCAGAGTCGGAGCCAGGGCCGGGCGCCCACGAGTAAATTCGTCGCCTACCTGACATAAGGGCGTAACTACACTCTGCAATGAACCCTACACTCCATATAATTCAATGCTTTTCCGGGCTCATCTCAAAGTGTAGTTACGCCCTTATGTCAGCCAAGCGACGAATTCCAAGAACGGGAGATCCTCGAGCCAGCGGCGCACACTGGACCAAGTCAACGGGGGAAGTCGGACAAAACCTGGAAACTTTCAAAGCTTATATTTTTACAAATATGAAACCAAGAAGTTTAAAAATGGTTTCATTGGTTTTTACCTGAAAGTCTCTTTCAGGAACACCTCTTGAAATTGAGTTTTGCGACGAAATAAACACGAAAATTTGAAATTTTAGCGAAAAATTTCATGTACGACCTCCGCCATTTCCTGGTTCTACTGTGCGGCGCAGGTACACAAACGGAGCCCTCGCGAGGAAAGCAAAGCGTCCAAAAACGGATTACTCCCAGCGGCGAGAATAAAAGTGGATGGAGTAAATATCAAAGACACAAACACGGCGAATCTATCCCGGCTCCGGGAGGCGGCTCGCGGTGGGACATTAGGCATTACGCCACTAAGAAGACGCTAAGAGGCTAATAAAGTATAAATCACCGACCGGGGGGGGGGGGGGGGGGGGGGGGAGGGGGGGCTCGCAGTCGTTGTGACCGTAATATAATCCGTAACTCCTCGTTGCCGCACTCGCGGACGGAGGCGTCTTCGTCCAACTTTTCGGAACTTGCGGTATAAGACTTGGGAGCTCTAAAAGCGGAACGCATTGAGGTCAATGGTTTATTGTCTCTTCCGCGAGGAGGAAGGAGCTCCTTTTAGGGCCCGGGCGGTGGAGCCTGGAAGTGTCCACGCGACAAATGGACGTCATTAACCAAACGTGATGCATCTGTCTTCGGAGTTTTGAAAGAGTCGGTCCTCCGCATCTTCCTGCTTTTCGCGCCAACGCGAGGCTCTTGTCAAACTCGGAATGTTGATGGCTAAGGGTATGTTGCCGTGCTAAGGAAAAACGCAGTATGAACCTTCAGGCGTTGCCAAATTTCCTTTGGTAAATCGCGAACTTTCGGGAAAATTTGTAAATATTTATCCTCCAATTTCTCAGATAATTTTGTTTGCAATTTCAACTAAAGTTCATGAAAAATTCAAGAGCTTTTCATAGCTTTCCTCAAAAATAAACTTTTTATCGGAAGAAATTCGGCAACTCATGAATGTTCATACGGCGTTTTCCATAGGACAGCAGCATGGTTCAGTAGCTGAGTAGATAGTTGAGGAGCATCGGTGGGTACTCCTTTTAGGAGGATATGGATTTGGTCCACATGAATCGATCGACACCGATTTGATCGGCAAATTATTAAAGAGCCGTTGCTGCTTCGAAAATTAAAGCGTGACCACTTGGACGTGACTCGATCGTCATAATTCGATCGATTCACGGTTTTGTCGATCAATTCACGGTTTTATCGATCAATTCAGGGTTTTGTCGATTGATTCATGAGTTTGTCGATCGATTCACGGTTTTGTCGATCGATTCAAGGTTGTCAATGGAATCGGTGTCGATCGAATGACGTCGGTCGGTTCACGTTTTTATTTTCCGATCGATTCATGTAGATTGAATCGACATAGTTTTTGAATAATTTGTCGATCGGTTTACATCGATCAATTCGCATTTTTATTTTTCGATAGATTCATGTCGACCGAATCCATGCCCTCCCCTCTTTTTTTCCAGACAATAAACTTGAGATTTTAAAAAAAAAAAACTTACCTAGGCATAGACTGAACAACGCAGAGAGGAGCGAAGCCACATCTGGGAGAAGTGAATGAGGGGTTCTTTTGAATTCAACCAATTGAACATTTTCTCCTGTGAATAGATCAAAGTTGAGAAATATAATTTTGGATGTTACGATAAGAGTTGAGATTCATCTTAAACATCGAGTTTTATGGAGGAATCAGCATTAATATAAACTTTGAAGGATTTCACCTTTTCACTTTTCATTTTTTCATTCATTCTACCTTTTATTCGAGCCTGGCGTAGGTTGCGCGAAGCGCGCCCAGAACGGCTAGTACATGCATATCATAATTGCAAGGATTGGTACTTAAGGAAAAGCTATCATAAGTGGTTAGGCCACGTCAACCTTCTTGGATTTTGAAGTAAAAATTCGAGATTCCCGCAAAAAAATACCCGCTAACTTCGAGATTAACAAAAATCGATCGAGCAGAAGCCGAGATAGCATTTTAGGCCGCCATCTTGGATTTTGAAATTTTGAAAATTTTTCCCGTAAAAAATTAGACCCCCCCCCTCTTATACATCAGTCTCGCTCAAAAACTATAAAAGTTTAAAAAACAGATTTTCCATCAGGAGAGCTTATTCTTTTGGCCACATTAATAATGCTAATTTTTTCTTTTTAAAATCAGTTGAGACCTAAATTTTTGCCACGGGCCACGGGCTGTGATGAGCACAAAATATGCGAGGTAACTAAAACTACAGCAGGTAACAGACTCGAGTTAGGTTTGAACCTAAGAATACAACTATATCAACTTTGGTGTGTTGCACAGTATCAAACGCAATTGAAGGCGTTTTATACTGGCCGGACCGTGACCTACGGACTCATGGTAGAGTCAGACAGGAGGAAATGGAAAATTATGAATAAATTTCATATATTAATGTTAAGAAGAGCCGAAAATTACATTTCGGGTTAAACTAAAGTACTAATCTACTTTTTTCAAACAAGTATTGAAAGTCTGAATTTATAATGTCGAGAAGTTTCGTTTCCATGTAAAGCCCTTGTCCCACGATCAAATGAACTCATCTAATACTTATCAAATGCAAGATGGCGGGTTCATCAACATTTGACGGCCCGCTAACTTTTGATAGCGGATTTGCGCGAAAACCAGTCGCCATCTTGCATTTGATGAGTATTTGATGGGTTGATTTGATCGTGGGACGTGGGCTTTGAGGACTATCACCGGCAGAACATACCCCGTGATACCGAGTTTCACAACCGGCACTTACCACCAATTTTGGTGGTTTGGCCTACGTCAGGTTTACGGCTGAAGTATCACAAGCGCCACGCAACGTTTACAAATTTCCGCCGTCATTTCGTTTTGTTTACAGAGACATTTTTCAACGAAGCTGTCCGAAAATTTCACTGAATTTTCTTTGTGCTCCCGATAAAAATCCAGTGGAATTTTTGAGCAGACTTACCCAAAAATTTCTCTGTAATATAATAAAATGGCCGCGGAAATTCTGAAACATCGCATGGCGCTTGTGATACTTTGGCCGTAAGGCGACGGTATGCTCAGCTCATGCATATTGGGTCCAAATTTTAGTATCTCTATGTTTTTAAAGAAATCGTGGCTCCCGAACGACTTTAAAATTATTATTGAGGGGTATCAGCGAACGTAATTTTCATTGAGAGACAGTAATAGCAATAAACCCTTCTTACAGGAACACCCTTAGGACTTCAAATAGAGGTGCCGCGTGATTGCAAACCTAGTAGATGAGTGAATGGTCCAAGAGACCCTTTTCAACAGTTCTAACAACCACGCACTTCCACCAAACAATTACTTCGAAATGAATCGTGTTCCGTAAAATGAAACGACCTTTTGTGAGGCTCCAGTGGATACGCAATTTCAATTGGCGGTTTCAGGGATACTCAAACAGCGTGACCGCATACATGGAAAGCAAAACAGCAAAAACGCGTACGTTAGTTTGTGACGCTGAGGACTTCCTGTCAGAATTAGTTTCTTGATGGAAAAGTACGCGGCGTTATTTCTCGAAAACATTTCAGATTTTATTTCTCTGTGTGAAGCTTATCCTTTCGAAAATTTCGAGCAAGAGTGATAGGTCGTTCTTCTTTGATAAAATAAAATAAAATAGGAATGGAGATTTTGAAACATCGCAAAAGAGATATGCGTTTCAGCGATTTCACCATCGATATAACAGCACAATAAAAACAAGCAACTTGACGTCCTTACTCTTCGAGTTGTTCTTTCGTTGAGTAGGAGAATTTCTGTGCGAGCAGAAAGAAACCCAGAGCGCCTACTTTTTATTGTATATGCAACATGGACATCCGCAAGACATGAATAGTTGCATCCTTGCGCCGCGTAACTGTTAACGCACAACGCGACGGCATGAGCCTGGGGTACTGATTTTTCAGATCATTTCGAAGGGAAAATGAGGTAATATTTTAAGAAACAACAGCATTATAACAAAGAAGGGCTTGCTTGTTAGGCATCGGATGACAAACTTACCATTGATTCGCTAAGAGAATTATTTAACGAATTTTTCAATGAGAATATTCCTTGTTTTGCGGCAAACGCAGTAAGTTTGATACCGCAAAAGCCTGTACATTTGTCCTGCTTTATAAACGTCCTACGTTTCCGCTCGTGTTTTATTATTTTTCTTATTAATTTTTTTTTAAAACAGCTCGTTACTAATTCTCAAAATTGTCATTGATTTTTCTGGACCAGTCACGCTTACTCCGTAAGTACCTCTGCGGGTCGATTATTGAAATTGATAGACAAATCTATAGACAAAGAAGACATAGAGGGTATAAAGCAATCCTATTTGTTGAAATGGGTGGTTTTCATAGACTAAGGGGGAAATGATAGACTAACTGTCGGGTCTCTCGTGGGTTGCCGTTAGTTAGTCTATTACCTACCTCCTTTGTCCATTGCAACCACCCGCCCCCGCCTCCACCAATAGGATCCCTCCATATCCTTTTTGTCTTCTTTGTCTATTGCTTTGTCTATCAATTTCAATAATCAGCCCGCAGGTCACATGATGTTCGTTGGCTATGCTTTAAAAAAATAAATACGGACCAAGATTTTGAAACGCCGTGATCGAGTTACATCCTTGAAATGTACTTGGACTAATTTCAGTAAACGCCGCCCACTGGATCCAATTGAATTACACTGGGGCCTCACACTTTAGTTCGACGGAGTAATAAGACCTCCTGATTGCAAGCTTTTGTCGTTGAGGATTTTTTTCAAATCTTTCAGTGTCAAATCCTCGACGGGCGTGATTAGCGGGGACAGCGAATGTAAATGAGAAAGTTTTCAAGCGAACGGTTCATTTATCTGTGCGGAACTTGAGTCCCAAGTTGGGGAGCCCGGGTGTTGGCTGTCGGGTTGGGGTGCGGTTTCCTTGAAAACGACTCCTCGGAGCCCGCCGCCCGCCATCTGCCACCGGAAAATGAACCGAAAAACGGCGAGGAAAAATACCGGCGAGCGCGGCGCGGAGGGGAAACTAATTAAAATGCAACTTCATTTTCCTCCTGATTCAAGGTCCTTCATGATCTACCGCTTTCTGAAATTTTCATAACTCCGCTAATCTTTCGACTGGGGAATTTCGCCGCGGCGCCGGCTAACTTTCGCCGGCTTTGATTTCCACTCCTCCACCGAAATTGGACCGGGAGAAAGATGGATTGAGTGTCCGTTTAATCATAATTTAATTGTATTTTTTGGGGTACATTTATATATTTAGTTGCGTACGCAATCTACTTACACAGTCTAAAGTTTTCTATATTCGCAGGAAAGTTAAGAAAAAACGATTTTAGCTTTCGGCCAGAGTATCACAAGCGCCATGCGACTTTTCAAAATACAGGATCACTCCATAATCCTTATGTCTTCTTTGTCTATTGCTTTTTTTATCAATTTCGACAATGAGCCCGCCGACGTGACCTCTGTAATAATCTGAGCCATCAGAATCCGAAGCTCATGTGATAGTGACACGGCGCGTGGATGCAACTATTCGTGTCTCGCGGATGTCCATGTTGCATACACAATGCAATGTAGGCGCTTCGGGTTTCTTAATGCTCGCAGAGTAATGAGCGTCGCGTTAATCATCGGCCAGGAAAAGGAACATTTGAAGTGAAGCATGAAAATTAGGCACGCCCTAGAATTCAATAAGAAACAACAACATTTAAAGCAACATTTTTTTCCTCTCCGTGACTTATTTCTATATTACTTATTTTCTTATAGCTGTTTCTTTTGACGGAGTAGAATGCCTGACTCCAATGTTGGAGCATACTGATTTTTCTGAGCAGTCAATGCGGAAACAAAACGTTGGTCAATAGAAATCCTGGCTTCCGTTCCCTTTTCGGTGCGAAAACACACCTGGAGCATTTACAATAAGTATTGCTGCTCCACATTTCACATGAAGCCTTTGGATCCAAGCGCCAAAATCAATTGGAAATAGGTGAATTTTTTCGATCGAATACGATGATTGACAATCACAACCGGTATACACCAAAAATGAAATTCTCTCTTAAGGAAATTTTGATGTCTCTCACTGGCAGCGGTTCGTATCCAATTCCCGATTTATGAATTGACCTTCACGGCTGGATACACGATCGATCACATTCCGAACCAACTCTGATCAAAGTAGACCAGTTGATGACTAATGGTCAACATGCAACAGTCCTCTTCCATCAAACCTGGACGGGTCGTTAAATTTTCATCAGAATGGAGTGCCACCATTCATCATTTCCTGCCGCACGAAACATTTCTGCCAAGTTTTCATTTTAGAACTAAGCAAAGTAATGATTTTAAGACTGATGACTCCCGACACTCCGATGGTAATTGGATCGAGAATTTGATCGTGTATCGAGACCTTTCGATGAATTTAAAACTAATTTGTTGAAGCCGTTGATTAAAACGCAGCAAACAACAGTTATCTGCCTTCGACCCCTATCAGCCGTTTCGTTCGCATGAAGTTGGTATAAACCAAATCCCATTCCGCAAGTACTTGAAATTCGATCCCGAAATTCGCCAATCGATACTAACATTCGGGCTTCAATTTTTCCCGCGTAGCGGTACAGCGGGTCTCATAATGGTCAAAATCCGCGGTCTCCCAGT